GACGAGATTGACCGGGAAGCCTCGATCTTGGGAGATCGGGTCGCCGCTCTGGAGGCCGAAAAGGAAGAACTGTTGGCTCAACTTTAGTCTTCCTCTGCCGCCGTTCCTCGCCAATTGCACGAGCTTTGGGTTCACGGTGAAGCCCAGCGGGATATATACAAGAGTCTGTGGGAAGCGGGCAATGTTACCGAGGCCGCATATGAAGGAGCGTGGGCGAAGGCGCGAGAGGCTCGTGTTAATTATGGGTATGACTCCGCGACGCTGGAAATTGATGGGGGCTCGGATGGTGAGGGACGACTCCCTGGAGATGATGGTGAAGAGGGCGGCGGTGATGACGCCGAGTGAAGGAGTTGCTGTTTTTATCCGTTTTCTGTCTTTTTACTTCCCCCCCCCCCCCCTTTTTTTGTTGTCATTATTTTTCTTCCTCCTTTTTAGACTATTGGTTCGAGCCGTGTGTAATTTGCGACTGTTTGCGCAGTGACTTTGTATAAAGAGGAATTTTTCATTGTTATTTGCCTTGTACTTTTTTCTTTGTTTTGCTTTTCGTGACTTCGGTGCGAAGTAGATTCCTGTATGACGAGTTCCCTAATTCTTTGGGACTCTAATGCCAGCCGGATTGAATTGGATCTTGATGACGGATTTCGTTGACGGGGTGGTGCTCTCGATTGTGTTGAGACATTACCCCGTCGCTGTTCGAATGGTATCGAACCTTTTTTCTCTTCCTTTTTTTAGAACGATCTTAGTTGTAGGGGTGTTACTTTCGGGCTTACATCGAGGCGTTACCCCGTTGTAAGTCCCAGTCTTTCTTTCCCTTCCCATTTTCTGATGGTCCTTGGCTTTTAAGGGTGTTATTTCGAACTTTCGTCGAAATATTAACCCATCGTTATCTGATCGAGGTCGGATTCTTCTTTTTGGCGAAGGCCCTTTGGCCTTTAAAGGTTATTTCGAGCTTTTGTCGAAATATTAACCCGTCGTTGTCCGATCGAGGTCGGGCTCTTCTTTTTGGCGAAGGCCCTTGGCTTTTAAAGTCGAGCTTTCGTCGAAATATTAACCCGTCATTATCCGATCGAGGTCAGACTCTTCTTTTTGGCGAAGTCCCTTGGCCTTCAAAGGTGTTATTTCGAGCTTTCATCGAAATATTAACCCGTCGTTATCCAATCGAGGTCGGACTCTTCTTTTTGGCGAAGGCCCTTTGCCTTTAAAGGTGTTATTTCGAACCTTCGTCGAAATATTAACCCGTCTTTATCCGATCCAGGTCGGACTCTTCTTTTTGGCGAAGGCCCTTTGCCTTTAAAAGTGTTATTTCGAACCTTCGTCGAAATATTAACCCGTCATTGTCCGATCGAGGTCGGACTCTTCTTTTTGGCGAAGGCCCTTGGCCTTTAAAGGTGTTATTTCGAGCTTTCATCGAAATATTAACCCGTCGTTATGCGATCGAGGTCGGATTCTTCTTTTTGGCGAAGGCCCTTGGCCTTTAAAGGTGTTATTTCGAACTTTCGTCGAAATATTAACCCGTCGTTGTCCGATCGAGGTCGGACTCTTCTTTTTGGCGAAGGCCCTTGGCCTTTAAAGGTGTTATTTCGAACTTTCGTCGAAATATTAACCCGTCGTTGTCCGATCGAGGTCGGACTCTTCTTTTTGGCGAAGGCCCTTGGCCTTTTAAAGGTGTTATTTCGAACCTTCGTTGAAATATTAACCCGTTGTTGTCCGATCGAGGTCGGATTCTTCTTTTTGGCGAAGGCCCTTGGCCTTTAAAGGTGTTATTTCGAACTTTCGTCGAAATATTAACCCGTCGTTGTCTACTCCAGGCCGGACTCTTCTTTTTGGCGAAGGACCTTGGCCTTTAAAGGTGTTATTTTGAACTTTCGTCGAAATATTAACCCGTCGTTGTCTGATCGAGGTCGGAATCTTCTTTTTGGCGAAGGCCCTTGGCCTTTAAAGGTGTTATTTCGAGCTTTCATCGAAATATTAACCCGTCGTTGTCCGAGTTTTTGGAGAATCGGGTATCCTTTGGGGGAGTTCCAGTTCCGCTCGACCTCTGCGCTTTCTAGGCGAGTCCCAGTTCGCTTGATTTTATTTGTATTGGAGGATCATTTCGGATAGTACGAAACGTTGCTGTTTCACTCGCGTTCGTTTCATGTGTGTATTGGAGTTTCTTTGTCTAAAAATTTGTTGCTTTCCGATCCGGAGACGTCGTTAGTGGGCGACACTTCGGTTGTTTTGTTGCAGCTCCCCACTCTTCCGATTGAGATGTTTCTTTTCCCTCTCGCCTGCACGGCGCTTGTGTTCCTGTTGGAGCAAAGAACAGAAGGTGAGTCAATCATGATATCCTCCTTACCCGAATCCGATGAGTCAGCGGAAGAGGGTGGAATTCTAATGTCCATGGTTGATGGGGAGATGATTTCTGAATTCGGTGACTGTACTCAGCTCTCTTCCCCCTTCTATGTTGCGCTTTTGACCTGTGTGGGCTAGGTTTTGCCTTAGCGCACTTTTTGGTAGCTAATTGTGTTTTCGATTTTTGATCTGGAAGAGACTAGGAAATTTCATTAAGAAATACCAACAGACGGCGCCAAGTTGTTTGACTCAAAAGATATTGGAACCTTTTTGAACAAATCAATCAAAGAAAATGAAGGGGTAAATCTTAGTTAAACATAATAAATTCCAGATCATTAAACTAGTCAGGAAAGATGATGCACAAGATGAAACAGAGGTAACCAATCTTATTGAAATTTTCATAATGGCTCCCATTAATCAATGGATGAAACCACTTTTACATCTTCCCCTCGAGATTGCTTCGTTCTTCTTTCTATTACGGAGATTACAGAGGAGAGAAGAAAGGGGGAAGAGAGAGAGAGAACCCCTAGAAAGTCTCCCCTTTTACAAAGATTTTACCCCCTTTATATAGTTAGGGAATCCTTGCTCTATACTTGATCCGACGCTATCACTGTCTGCCCTGGTCGTTCCCGGGACGTTGCTTCTTCCGACTTCGATGGGTATCGTGAGTACAGGATATGGAATAACCATGTTGTCTTTCACTACCTCGCCGCTTAGACGGGATGTCAATCAGCTTGTCGTAGCGGTCAGATTTTGACCAATACAAATTCAACAGAGGAGAGGAAGGGAGAGGAATTCTTTTATTGTTTTATTGGCGTAATTTCAACTAAAATGGAATGAGGAAAGTGAAATAGTGAACTACTATTAATCTTTTATCTTTATTTAGAAAAATGTTCTTGGCAAATTCCTAAAATAAGGAGTTCCCCTATGTAGAATCAAAAGAATGACTTGCGCTTGGAGTAGTTAGTATGATACAAATTGAGTCAATATTGAAGAGCATGTTACTTTCCCTAGTTTTAAGAAAAATGGAAAGGTGAAGACCATTGGATTGTGGATCATTTCAACTAGATAGTGATGATCTACTTGTTAATAACAACCCTAATAAAAATAATAGATAATTATAGTGCTGTTTGGACGTGCTAGAACATGACATTTAATCTCTTGTTGCATTTTTCGAAAGCTACATCAAGTAGCTAGCTTCTCAGCCCCCTAAAATTTTCTTTTTTTTAATAATATTTCTTTTTTTTTAATCGGGTAAGCTTTGCAGCTGGCGGCTGTGAATTAATGAAATGTGTTGCATAAGTTTTCTTTTCTTTTTTTCGTCAATGGTGAGGATATTTCACGTAGTTTGATTTTGAAGATTTTGGGACGTGGGCATCGGCACTGAGAATAAGGGATTAATAGGGGAGAAAGGCAATTTCAGGGCTATTTTTTAAATATAATCAGCGTTTGCGATGTATTTAAACATAGCCACAACTTAAAAAGCGGCAGACTCTCACTTCCTATTCGCAAAAGGTGAGTATCTTTAAACAACACTTTTTGAATGGTCTTTAATTTTTAAACCCTGCTTGCTTCGTGTGAAACTTCAAGGTCAAAAATTAAAAGTGTTGCCCATTAGGCAAACAAGAAACAACACTTGTTAAATTTGAAGTATGTCCATGGGGCAAGAGGAGAAAAGAATCCAAGACCATCCACTTGAGGGTTATTTGAACGAAAATTGAAATAAACAAATCTGAACGAAACCTATATTCTTCTAAAATTGATATTTTTAATAATCTCTCTTTCCTTTGGAATAAAGAATCAAGAAATAGCTAACTTTTTGAAATGAGAAACTTTGGAAACACATACGTCTTAGCAATTGAATTTCCTTTTAATGTAAAACAAAAAAAAAATGAAGTTAAAAAAAATAATATAAAAACAAAAATTAATACTACAAAATAGAATAACAATAAAGATTTAAATGTTAAATTAATTGAAAGAACATAAAATGGCCAAATACAAGGTGTTTACATTCATGTCCTATACAGTCTATGTATGTAGGTGTCCTATATAGCTCATAACATTTGCTCGGATCTTGTATGTGTTAAAAAGTCAATTAAAATAAGTATATATAATAGATTTTTGAAACCTTATAAATTAAATAGACTATAATAAAATCCTGAGCCAAACACATAATGCTCACATCTTGGATCAAAACTTTTATTTCCCCCATTAATATTTGTTCATTTCATAGTAATGGTAGTCGAAATTCCTTTTTTTTTTCCTACTATTTTCTCATAAATTTTCTTTTTTTTTTTGGTGTCAAACATTGGATTAAAAAAGAAGGCAGAAAATACTATGTCGTCAAAATAATACAGCTTGTAGGTTTTATAATGTTTTTCACCGCGTCTTCATGTTGGCTGATCAGTTAATTAAGCAGCAGTTTTGATCATTGAAATAAACAAATAATCCAGAAAATAAAAACTGAATTTAACAATAGTAAGAATGAATCATAATCCAAATTTGACTATAATAAGTACGTGGATAAACCACTTACAAAATCAATACTACCTATAACTTCCAAAGCAAAAATAACAACTCAAAGAGCCATTCTAGCCAAAAAGAAGAAAAAAAATTGACCTAAAAAATTGTATGATCCTGCAGTTTAGTGTCTAAACCATTAATTCCTAGAAGCAGAGAACAAGAAACAATGGCAATAACATGCTGATGGGAAACCAGTTGGATGAATAACAAGTGGTAGCGTCACCAGTGTAGTTGTAATTAACGGGAAAACCAGGAAAATAAGGATATTCCACAGAATTAACAGGAGGACTCAATGCAGTTGCAGGAGTACTATTATTAGTCGGAGCATTTGGATTCGAGGGAGAAGTTGGGGTTGTTGGAGTCGCGGGAGTCACTGGATTCGAGGGAGATGTTGGTGTTGCAGGAGTAGTAGGAGTAACTGGAGATGGAGTTGGAGCTGCGATTTTAACGTGAACTTTGAGACCAATATCGCAATGACCTTGAATGCTACACAAGTAAAAGTAATCGCCTGGAGTTGGGAGGTTAATTGAGTCGTGGCCGGAGTTGAAGCTGGCAATTGGTGCTTTATCTGTGCATGCAATGTAATCGTCGACGTTCACTTGCATCACATTGTGCAACTCTGGATCGTAGTTGAAAACTGCATGTGTTAAACAATAAGCGAGTTAGTTTTTTGTAAACAATTTTGGGTGGTATTCATGGACAAAATATTCTTAGTACTAATAAAAAATAAAAATAAAATGAAAAGGAAAACCAATCTTACCAAGGGTATCACCAACTTGAAATTTTTTGGAAGAAACCCATTGATCATAATTTTGGTCGAAAGTCCATCCTGCAGAATCACCAACTTTATACACACCAGCCGTGGTAGATCCCGCGGCAGCCATCATCAACACCAACACGACCATCATTATTTCTCTGAATAAAGCCATAGATTATAATTTGTTATGAATCTCAATGGTAATATTCAGTATTGAAGAAATATTATAGACTTTGGAGTCTGAATACTTATGATTTAAGTGAATGAGTGTCTGAGGTTATGAACTCTGTGGCTTTTATAGACGTAGTCAATGGCTTCCCTTGCATTGCATGGACTAGAATTTAAGGAAATTAACAGGCATATAACACTTATGGAAAGTCAATTTCCATGTACTTTGGAAGCTAAAATAGAACTAAACGTCGTATTACCAAAAAAGAAATCTAACAAGTACGTCTTACTATGTTTAATTTGGAACTTTACATAAGTGCAGTATATATGGAAAATTGAAATTCTAATTAATTGTTTCGTTGAATGCAGAAAGTTCATTTCACTTTTGGAAAATCTTTCAGTTCGGACACTTTCTTATTATACTCATCTCCACAATTAGAGAAGAGAATTCTGTAATAATGCAAACCTTTCCTTTCCTGCCACATTCAGGTTTCGTGGTGCTTAAGTACTTATTACATTATTTTCTTCATACTAGTTTCCGTAAGTGAAAAGAAAATTTCAATAATAGAATTCTTCCTAGTTAAATAGGAAGAATAAGTACTTATTACAATTAATGGTTTTGTGGTGCTTAGCTACTTATTACTTTTATTTCCTTTATATTCCTTCCGATCCATAATAAATGACCTTTTAGCCTTTTTATTTTTGTCTAAAATAAAAGGGTGTTTGGCTAAGCTTATAAGCTAGTCAAACTGGCTTACAAGCACCTTTTGATTTATGTACGCGTTTGGTAAACACCCAAAGTGTTTATAAGCCAAGTGCTTATAACACTACTAGAAATTAGGTGATTTTCGTCCACAATTTCCGACCGAAATTGATAATTTCCGACCAAATTCCGACCGTTTTTAATTGGACGATAAAATAATGGTCGCAAACGCACACCGACCGCAATTGGTCGAAAATTTCCGACCGAAATCGGTCGAAAAATATTGGTCGTAAATTTCCGATCGAAATCGGTCGGAAAATTCAATGCGTGGACTGCCAGTCAGAATTTTAAAATTATTAAATATTTTATTTTAATTTTTAAATTTCCGACCGAAATCGGAAGGAAAATATTATTATTATTTTATTTTTAATTTTAGTTTTTCGACCGAGTTCGGTCGGAACTTTTAGAAAATAATAATATTATCTAATTAAATAAATATTTGTAAAATGTTAATTTATTTAAAAAGTAAATATAAATTCATAATTTCTTTTATGAATTTCTGGGAAAAAATTAGTTCCGACCGTAATTCGGTCAGAAATCTGGATAAAACTGGGCAGAAATGGCTGCTTTAAGCTACACCACCTGCCAATTTAAACCAATATACTTCCTATAATGTCAGCTTACATTGCTGCCATTCAACCATTCAACCCAACAAAATGACAACAACTAATAACCAACAACAACATCAATTAACCAACAACTAATAACCACAACAACAACTACTAAAGTGTTCAATAACAAAATAACAATATAATCATCATTCAAATAACCAACAACAAATATTGACAAGTTCACAACTTTGTTTAACAATACACAACATTCAATGAGTTTTTTATGCAGCATCATCTCCATCTTCGGTCCTAGGACCTTCATCGTCGGCAGGTGGGGAAGGAGGAGACCGGGGAATGGGGAAAGCACCACTAGCAAGAAGATTGGCCAGCTGACCTTGAAGGAGATCAAATTGTTTGTCCCTCCTTTCTAGCTGACCTTGAAGGGTATCAAATCTCTCCTTTCTCTAGCCTTGGTCTCTTCAAGCTCTGTTGTGAGCTTTGCGATCTTCTCTTCCATAGATGATATAGCCGAACTATCAATCGCCTCGCCTTGGGTGGAAGTCTCTATACCTTGCAATCCATTAATTGCCTTTTTTACTTAATGTAATTATCAATTAATTGCCTAATAAATTATTAATATTAATTAACTATATTGCTAATATTTAAGATAATTAAACAATCACCAATCTTTGCCAATTAATTAAATTCTAGCTAACAAATTACTATCAATTATTAAATTATTAAATTAATTAAATTCTAGCTAACAAATTACTATGAATTCAAACCAATGTTCTATATTAAATTATTTGCTGTAAAAAAAATATAAGTCATTTCGACTTTACGTTCCCCTTATTAATTTATTGATATAGGATACACGCGCAAAGCGCGTACCCTAAGACTAGTATTTTACAAAAATCTAACAATAATTCTTCTTACTGTATAATTTATGTGTAATATTATGTGTAATTATTTCTGATATTACTTATGGATATCACTAATGCACTTCTACTTAGTGTAGTTATCATTTTATAAACTAAACAATGAGTAATATTTCTTAAGAATACTGCTAATACACTTTTACTTAGTAGAATTTTCAGTGTATAGGCTAATCAATCACTAATTTTTCTTACTGGTATTACTAATATACTTATACTTAGTGTAATTCTTAATGTATAAGCTAATCAATCAGTAATAGTTCTTAAGAATATTATTAATACATGTCACGACCCAAAATCCACTACGGGTCGTGATGGTGCCGGACACTACTATCAGGCAAGCCAACTAAGTTATCAATTAAACTCTCTTTTAATACCTTTGATAATCTAGGATTCTTCCTTCCATTTTTCATAATTAAAAATAATTTTTACTTCAATTCGAATTAAGTAATAACTATTAGTACACATCTCTGAAAAAGCATCCCAGAACCCGGTGTCACAAGTGCATGAGCATCTACTGATAAGGAAATAAAATACAATATCCGTCCGAAATACAGTGGACGGGAATTAAATACCATAAGCTGAAAGGAACTACACAAGCTGCGGGTCGCCTCAAATAATGCAACTCACCTAGTCCCAGAATCATCCGCGCTGCTACGCCCAGTAGGCCACTGGAGTTACTTATACCTGTGCAACAAAAATGCACAGAAGTGTAGTATGAGTACGTAATTAATGTGTACTCAGCAAGTATCCCGTCTAATCTCGAAGAAGTAGAGAGGAGATGTCAACTTTCACACTTACTAGTGGTCCAATAATAATATACTAAATGTGCGAGGAAATCGGGGATTTTATATAGCAGTTCTAACTCACAAAGCGAGAAAACAGGTAAACACCTTCAACAAGTAATAAAGGATTTTCTTTTCATTATTTTATCAATTTATACCAAGCCATGAAAGGTAATACCCACATTTAAAAATTTTTCAGGAAAAACAATATATATATCATGCGCAAATCATGCCGAGGTCGACGACCCGCTCCAACAGAAATGTAAATTGTGCACTGTCGAGGGTCGAACGGCCCGAACCATAGAGGCATCTATTTAATCTGCCGAGGCGTTCGGCCCGTTCCATAAATAAACACATACCCTGCTCGCGAATCATGCGTGCGACGCAGGTAAACATAGAGATACATGCTCATATCAGTCAATTAGGAACTTATCGGGGATATTTATCCAAATAAGACAATTTCTCTTTTTAACAATTCATGAAAAATGAGGTTTAATCTCTTTTTAAATTCATTTACTAATCCAAGGTGATTTAAGCAATTAAAGCTATCAAGGGGTTCATAAATAATCCAAGTGTAACATGCTTTTTGGGTCCTAACTACCCGTACAATAGCATAATAGTAGCTACGCACGGACTCTCGTCACCTCGTGCGTACGTAGCCCCCACAAATAGGAGCACATAATCAATTATTTCACCTATGGGGACGATTTCCTCTTACAAGGTTAGAAAGGAGACTCACCACGCTCCGAAGACTAATAACTGGCATTCTACATTCCTCCGAAGACTTGCACCAACGCACAATGCTCCAAAACTAGCCAATGATTATACAAATCCATTAATATATGCTCAATTAAACTTTACAACCCAATTTGTAACAATTCCTAACCCGGAACGAAAAGTTGACCAAAATGGCCTTGGGCCCACGTGCCCGGAATCCGAAATTTTTTGAAGATAAAGATTACCCATGACCCTATGAACTCAAATATATAATTTACTCCTAATTCCATGCTCAAATTCGTGGTAAAATCCAATTTATCAAGTTTCTAAATTTTCTTCTACAAATCCTAACTTGCCCACAATGCTTATGTCTAAATCCATGATATAATCTTGTATTTAACTTGGAAATGAGTAGGAGTATCTTACCTTAACATAGATGACGAAATCCCTCTTTGAAGCTCTCCAAAAATCGCCCCAAGCCATGAAAAATGGGTGAAATGAACCAAAACCCCGGTTTAAAACAAGTCTTTGCCTCCAGTGATTTCTGCTTCTGCGGAATTATTTCCGCTTATGCGGTCAAAATGCCGCTTCTGCAGCTCCTTCCCAAGCCGCCAGCTTCCGCTTCTGCGCTTCCTATTCCGCAGGTGCGGTCCCGCATCTGCGGCTTCCTGACCGCATCTGCAGTCCCAGCTTTTCCTCCAAAAGTCTGCATCTGCGGTCTTCCTGGCCGCTTCTGCGGGGCCGCTTCTGCGGTCCCTTTTCCGCAGAAGCGGAAATACCAGCAACCAGCAACCTTTGCCCTTCAAAAATTCCGTTTTTGATCCGTTAACCACCCGGAATCCACCTGAGGCCCCCGGGACCTCAACCAAGCCTACCAACCAATCCCAAAACACATTACGGACCTGCTCGAGGCCTCAAATCATATCAAACAACGCTAAAACCATGAATTACACCCTGATTCAAGCTTTATAACTTTAGAACTTCAAACTTCTATTTCCGATGTTTAAACCTATCAAATCACGTCCGGTTGACCTCAAATTTTGCGCACAAGTTATATTTGACACTACGAACCTACTCCAACTCTCGGAATCGGATTCCGACCCCGATATCAAAAAGTCCACCTCCGGTCAAACTTCTCAAAAACCTTCAAATTTCTATCTTTAGCCAAATGGCTCCAAAATGACCTACGGACCTCCGAATTTACTTCCGACCGCGCCCCCAACTCCAGAATCACCATACGGAGCTATTCACAT